TCACCCCCAGGGGTCTTCACAAGCTGAAAATAGAAAGGAGTTCAGAAAGGGTTGCAGGAAATTAATGGATGACGGGTCCCCAGTGGTAATTAAAGGAAGTGAGAGATGCTGGGGGTTTGGGCCTAGACATCTGCGGTCAGCATCACTGCTGGGGACTGCCACAGTCTCCCCCAGATGGGTCCCGGGAGCCCCAGCACAGCAAGCCACTGGCTGGGAAGCCTGGGGGAGGTACAGGATCTCAATTTTGGGACCCATTCAGCAGGATTTGATTGCCTAGTATTCTCCTCCTCTGCTCCCCCCAACCCCCAGGCCCAGCTGGACTGTCAGGGGCTGGGTGTTTCAGCTTGCTGACTCACTCACCTGCCCAAGATGGGTAATTTGCATATGTTCTGGTTTTCTGAGTATTTTCTTTGCTACCTTATTTTTTTTTTTAAAAGAAAAAGCTATTTTTGCAAGGTATTCATTACTTCCTAATTATTCATACTCCTTACATTTATTTGTCTTGTTAAATACAAAACTCAACAAGCAGCTCCCTTTCTTATTTGTTTCAGGTTCATTGTGAATTTCATGCCCACACCTCTTCTTTCAGGTAAGCCTGGTGTGGGAGAAACCCCCACACCCCTCCTTCCAGGTCCCCCATACCCGCCCCCCCCCCAACTCCCTGGAGACTTCCCTCCAACCAGCGGCCTTATGGACTCTTTTTGGGAGGACCACTCTCATTACCCTGCTGTCTTGACCTCCATCCTTCCCGTCCTCCTCTACCCAGAGTTTCTTCTGTTTTCTCCCCTCCCCCCCTCTGTTGTTCTCCCTTGCTTCTCTGTCTGCCCGCCCTACTTGGCTCTTGGCTTCATCCATTTCTTCCTTCTCCTTCCCCACTCCCATCTTTACCCTCACCTGCCCTCTCCTCCCCCTGCTAGATCTTTATACCCAAGTGCCACCTTCAGTCTATACCACCAGCATTGCCCTCATTTGCCAACCCACAAGCCCAAACTGTGCTCCAGAAGGCAGGCGCTATGCTCTTGACTCTCAGCTAATAATTCTTCCCCAACCCCTCACACCCAACCCTGCACAGACCCTCTTTAATTGCTTAAAACTCACTTCCTCTAAGCCCAACAACAGTGGCTCAGAGAGGGGTGGAGGGACAAGGACATGTCCCAGGACTCCAGGTTCCTGGCCTATAGGACCAGCACGTGGCCCTCTTGGAGCCACATTGGTGTGTCAGAGCTGAGGCCTGTAACTCACAGCAGATCCAACTCCCAGGCCTACTTTGTAGTGGTCCTGGCAGAGGAGATACCATTTTACCCCCCTCACCCTCCCTAGGCAAATCTTGTGACCACCCAGGGCCAGGTGGTCCTAGTGGGGCAGTTGGAGGCTGGACCTGAGCCCCTGTCCACAGGCAGCAGCCAGCCCTGGACCCTCTGCTGCAGCCTGATTTCTGCCTGGGCCTTTTCTGGCCTCTGCTTCTCCAGCTTTGTAACTGAGGATAGGGGTCCAAATGCTCAGACAGACACCTTACGTGTATCCATACCACACAGTACATGCATCCACCACACACATCTCTATACACTATGCATTAAGCGGGGTAAGTCAAACTCGGGTCTGCCAGAATCAGGCAGGACCTGAGAGTGTGCTTTTCAAGTGAATGACAGATGCCACCGGTACAGGTATCACACTTTGAGAACCACTGCACTAGAAAATGTCCACATACACAAATACCAGAGGGTATGCATTTGTAGTGGCAGGAAGGGGCACTGAGCAGGTTTTCTAAGATCCAGCAGACCGGGTAAAGGAGGAGTCCTGGAGCCCTCAATGGTTTTTGCAGGTCTTTTATTGGGATTTACCCAGTACACAGCAGGCAAGGGTGCTGGGGGCCCGGGAGGCTGGCAGGCCTCCCGGGCCCCCAGCAAGTCTTCACTCTATCTGGGCTCTCCAGCGTTCTCGCTGCTTCTCTGCTCTTCCGTTTGTTCTGCTGCTTCTCGGCTTCTCTTTCAGCTTCTTCTGGCGTCCCTGTGACACCGCCCTTAAAAGCCCAGTCTCAGCCCAGGTGAATCCCATCTACCTATGCCCACATCCTATTCCAGGTGCCCGCCATCAGGCATGCATTCAGGACTTCAAGGATCCATCATCTATCCTGATGGCGGGAGGGCAGAAAAGCCTGACATTTTTCCTTACCCTACAGCATTCTTGCACAGGTTTTGCAAACCAGCAAGAGTGAGGCAGCTGGGAAGAACTGACACCTCTGAGCTGAGTTTGGGGATTACTTGCCCAAGAACTCAGATTCACAGTATCATTCTCTCTCACTGTCTCTGGCTCTTGTTTCTTCATGTGTCTCTGCATTTCTGTGTATCTGTCAGTTTCGAAGCCCTCCCTACTGCCTCCTTGCCCCAGCCAGGTCCTGCAGCCTCCAGGTGGCTTCCCAGCAACTCGGCACACATGAGCTCATCCATCTCTATCACCCTGCGAGTGAGTGGCAGGCAGGTGAGAGAAGAAGATTACAGAAGAACAGGCTTAGCTCCCCGCTAACAGGGAGCTTGCTCACCATGAGAACACAGCCAATTATTCCCCCTTTTCTGGGGGATAATCATTAATGCCACAGGAAATTCTAAACAAGCAATTAAATCATTACTGGGAAAGGCGCGGGGAGCCTGTGCCACCATGAAACCCCTGTGCTGTTGGTCTCCGGAAGGTTTACCTGGGAAGCGTGGAGCACAAGGGGAAATAGGCATCATCCCCCCTCTTGCAGCATCAGCAGCAGCCAGTCTAGCAGAAGCAGCCTCAGAACCACCTTCCTCCTCTGAACTACACACCGAGCTACTACACCCAGAACCTCTCCTGATCTACACAATCAGGGTTCTGTCCCGGCAGCTCTTCATGATCTTATGCCTTCTAAAATCTTGCCCAACTGATGAGTCTATTCATTTGAAGAATATGCCTCCCCAAGATGTCCAGAACAGGCTGGACATCAGAACAGGCTGACACATCCCAAGATGTGTCACTTTGGCATGTGGATTATTTCAAAGCCAGCCGAGGCGTGCAGACTCAGAAGAAACTTTTACCGTTCCCTTAACTAGAATAAAATTCCAGAATTAGGAATTTTACCAAAACAACCTTTCTGTCAGAGATACCTAAGTATGTAGCAGGACACACATGTAACTACAGAGCATCGGGCCTTTGTCACATGAGTCACCCCTCATCATATGAGACCCCCTCCTCAGTCCTTGATGCCCCAGCCTCATAGCTCATCCCTTAGTTCAGGATATGTACTCCCATTGCTTTAGGGTCCTGTAAAGGGTCAGGAAGACACAGTGCAGGTTTTCTGATCCCATGCAGACTGGGTAAAGGAGAAGTCCCAGAGAGTCCTCAGTGGGGTTTTGCAGGTCTTTTATTGGGGTTCACCAGGCATATGGCAGGCAGGGGTGCTGGGGGGCCGGGAGGCTGGCAGGCCTCCCAGCCCCCAGCAGGTCTTCACTCTGTGGGCTCTCCGGCCTTCTCTCAACTGCTTCTCTTGCTTCTCTCTTGGCTTCTCTTTCGGCTTTTCTTTTGGCTTCTCTTTCGGCTTCTGCTGGCGTCCCCATGATGCCGCCCTAAAAAGCCCAGTCTCAGCCCAGACGAATCTCATCTACCTCTGCCCACACCCTATTCCAGGTACCTGCCATCAGACATGCATTCAGGACCGAAAGGATCCATCATCTATCCTGATAGCAGGAGGGCAGAAAAGCCGACCTTTTACCTTACCCTACAGATCCACATCCAAATCCATATGTAGATTTTCCCCACATATGTAATTAGATTTATTCTTTTCTCCTACTAATCTCTCTGATATTAATTTGATTGTTTGAGGAGCCCAAGAAGAACCCAGAGGGGTAGGGGAAGTTTCCTCTCCACCTGCACAGATTCAGTTGATAAGTATTTCCAGAGCACCTGCTAGTACCAGGCAGTTATGCAGGAAATGGGGAGATACTGGTGAACAAGCCAGATACAGTCCCTGCCCTGGAGATCTTCCAGTGGGGAAGTCACAGAAGCAAGAAGTAAATAAGAAAAGACTCGCAAAGTGGAGCAAGTGCTTAGTAGGAAATAAACGGAGTTTTCTGAGTGGATCCCTACCATGCAGACCCCTTGGCTTGGCCAACCATTAATGTCCAGCTCTTGTGCCTGTGGATTGTGTTGGTTTTTTTTTTTTTTTTTTTTTTGTTTGTTTGTTTTTTTTTTTTTTAATTTATTTATTTATTTATTTATACACGCACTGGGTACAGTCAGAAGCGCGGGAGGGTGAGAGAATTCACCAGAGCCAGAGCGGGGAGCAGAGCAGGCAGAAGGACCGAAGCACACTGCTGAGGGGAGCAGCGGGCGGCAGGAGAGGTCTGCGCGCCATGTGGGACCCTCCTCCAGTAGCCGGGGAGCAGCCGGGGATCGAACCGGCGCTGCAGAGGCTGCGGGGCAGCTTCGCAACCCAGCGCTCAACCGCTGCGCCACCGGGGAGGCCCGGTTTTGTTTTTTTTTTTTTTTTTAATTTATCTATGCATACAAGATCTGGGGTATAGACCAGAGGTATGGGGGGAAGGTGAGAGGATTCACCAGAGACAGAGTGAGGAGCAGAACAGGCAGATGGGTTGAAATACACTGCTGAGGGGAGCAGTGGGCGAGTCAGGAGAGGTCTGCTATGCTGTTTGAGAAGCTCCCTGGCTGAAGATAGAACTCGTGCTGCAGAGGCTGTGGACAGCCTCGTAGGCCGCATCCCAACCCCTTGCACCACCAGGGAGGCCCTAGATTGTGTTTTATATGAACATCTGCAACATCTGAGCAGTTTCTCCCTACCCCAAGTCCCTGACATGCTATCTTTGGAAAGATAATGAGTATCTATAACGGTTACTGTTTTTTAACACTTACTATGTGCCAGGCATTGCACTAAGCAATTTATGGTCATTACATCATTTCATCTGCAGAGCAATAATAACATTATGAAGTAGGTGTTTTTAATCCCCATTTTACAGACAAGGAAATGGAGACCTGGCACATTGGAACCATTTGGCCAAGTCACACAGTAAGTAACTGGGGGAGTGCACTGAGGTTTATCTGAGTCCTGAGCTGAAGCATTTAACCCCTGCCTTATCATGCCTCTCTGGGGAAACTAGAGGTCTATGTGGGCTTTGCAGAATGTATTTCAGGGCAGCCTGGGCTCCCTGTAAAAATGGGGCTACATTGGACTAGTTACCGGCTACTAAAAATAACAAGGCGGGGCTTTCCTCTTTCCAAGTCTCTGAAATGCAGACCAGAAAGAGCAAGTAGCCATGGCCAGCTACAGAACCCCACTCACTCAGGAACCCTATGACAGCCCTCTTGGGATTCCTCAGCCCACAGGTCTCTATTGGGCCCAGAGAGAAACCATGGAGCCTCCAGGGACTCCAGGCTGCCCTGACATACATTCTGCCAAGCCAGTGGCCCCTAGAATTCTGCAGCCTTGGGAGGGCCCCTCACAGTGTCCATACATGGCCTCCACCTCCTGCACCTGCAGCCAGGCCACACTCCCCAGAGTGGTGGGAGCCAGAGGCAGACAAGAACGGAGCCTGGGTGTGTGGTGACTAATCGGCAGGTGCTTGGGAGGCCATGGTGAATTATTCACACGAATTCTGTGAATTATTCAAGTTGTTATTATTTATTTTTCAGATGTGCCTGCGGCAGAGCCTCCAGGCCCATGTTCAAAGGATGACATAACTCCTTACTCTCGATCGCCTCTGTCTGTGGAGAGCAAGTCAGGCTTCTCTCTAGCCTCCCAACAGAGTCTCCAGCAAGAACAGGCTGAGGGCAGGGAGCTGCTGCCTTGGGGGCTGACTCCTGGCATCCCAGTTCTAACCCCAATTATAGAAATAATAGTTAATGCGACTGTGCCCCAGCCCTGGCTTTTCACATACCAGCCCGAGTGAAAAGATCAACACCTCTAAGAAGAGTATGGTCAATCCACCTTACAGCTCAGAGAAGTCCAGTTCATCTTTGGAATTCAGACCCAGGTTTGTGGTCCCTAAAGTCAGCGGCTGCCAAGTCACCTATGTCAGGGGTGTTGGGCCTGGAAATATCCTCCCAAACTCCTCTGTTGTCCCAGCTGCGCCCCTGCCACCCACCCTGGGCTTCAAACCATGCAGAGGGCAGGCCATGCCCAGTGCTTCCACAGCTCTGAAGGCTTTCATATCTCCATGGCAACAGGAGCCTGAGCAGCCAGAGCTGTGCTTGGTCAGCCTCTGAGGAGCAGAGGTGGCCTTTGCCTGCAGAGCCCCCCCAGGTGTCCCAGACTCTGAGCAAGTATGACTCCGGGTCCCCCCCTCCAACCTCACAAAATCCTCTTCCTGCCCAAACACAGAGCTTTCCTCCCTCACAATGGTCAGGCAGAAGAAATCACACCAGCCTCCCTGCCTCCTTCACAACGCTTACCCACTGTCTAACCTCCATCCCACTGGCTGCAGTTCCAGCCCTTGTCCCCACAGAATCTCTCTCCACCTCCTTCCATAACTGCCATCTGGAGGAGGCAAAGTATGGACTCCGCAGGCAAAGCCCTGCGGAGGCCCTGAAGAGGCCTTGTCAGAGTGAACATAGTCTCACAGAAATGCGTTTTGGAAGGGTACCTTTGTCTTCCTGCCAGCGCATTCACTCATTCTTCACCCATTTATTCAATAAACACTTACTGAGTGTCTTCTATGTGCCAGGCACTGCTCCTGGAGCAGGAAAGTGGCCAAGAGTAGCACTACCTCCTTGTCAAGGCCCCTGCCATTATTGGCTGCCCCTCTCGCCCCCCAGGACCTGTCTCTTCTCACACTAAGAAGCAAAATCACCAGCAAACTGGATTCAAGCCTGACTCTTCCATTACCCAACTCTGAGTGACCTTGGGCTGGCAGCTCCCCTTTTCTGCTCTCCCCTTTTTAAAATAAGAGAGTGGGGTCAAATCTGCTTTCTAAGGCCTTGCCACCCTGCTCCTCTCAGGTGTCAGTGTCTTAACACCAGGGACATCGTCATTCCTATCCTATAGCATGAAAGTTAGAGCTCTGCACTGAAGCAGTGACCAACCCCCTCCTCCCTGCACTGTGCATTGCATTTTAAAGATGGGACAGTGGGTTCTGCTGCTGATGGTGGACTGCAGTTGCCAGAGAGGCTTGGGGACTGGAGCGGGAAGGAAACAACATCTGCAGAATGCCTGTGCTTTCCTCGAAAATACTCTTTATTAATCTTTGCAGAGGTGGATACGATCGTACCCATTTTACAGACAAGAAAACTTGAACTCAGGCCACACAGCTGGTAAGTAGCAGGATTGGCACTTGAGCCCTGGCCCACGGTGGCCCATCCTTTTGCTGAGACATCAGGCTGTATCTCCAGCCTCAGCTGGGTCCTGGGGATACAGTGTGGCTTCCCCTTCCAAAGCCTATGTTGGAGATGGGGGAGACCCTTTGATTGAAAATACTTCCAGAGAGTTGGGTGCCCTGGATTCCCACCTTCTCCACCAACACAGGAGAGGAAAACCTGGGGCCAGATTGTGCTGAGTCATCCAGGGCCCAGGAAATCCACATTTATATTTACTCAAAGCAACCACCTCAGCAGGTTCAGAGCTGTGCTTCCTCTTTGTCTCAAAGCACCTGGACTCATTCCCTGGCCAGGCAGGCAGGTGAGGAGGACCACTGAGCTGGAATGAAGTGGGGGTGGGGGAGGGGCACCCCATGCCCTTGGGGCATGTCCACATGCTCCTGGCAATGACCTTGTGGTTTGGACACCAGTTTCCACTTCAGCTTGCTGACATGAACCTGACATCAACCACCAGGATTTGAGTTGTGAGGGTTTGTTAATACTGCCACCCCTCCAGAATGGAGGGGAAGGGGTCCTGCTGGGGTGTGCAGGACATAAGCTGGTAGCAATCTTCCCCCTGAAGTTCAGAAGTTCAAAGCCTGGGCTTGGGATAATCCTGAGTCTGAATCTGGGGTTGACACTAATTTGGCAGCTGTAGGGCAGGCAGGCAGGCAGCCCTCTTACTCAGTTTCCCCACTTGTAAAATAGAAATACCTGTCCTTCCCCTGTGGGGCTGTTGTGAGGATTTCACTAGACAGCATAAAGTGCTCCCTAAGGCCAGTGAGGATGAGCCTCTCCTCCATGCCCTCACCTCTCTCCCTCCCTTCCCCTTCTCTCCCTCCCTTTTGAGCTGAGCAGGCAGGCGGTGCCTGCCTGAGGCTGCAGTTCTGGAAGGATTCAACTTGTCAAGCAGGTTCTCAGTGCCTCACAGCTCCAGGGTATCTGGTGGCAGTTTCTAAACAAAACTAGCCCTCCAAACCCTCTCAAGATTCCAGCAGAGGTCAGTTCTGCAGACCTTTGTCTGGAACAGACTGGCAGGTATAGCCCCTGCTGGAGACCCTGAGGTCAGCCTTGGGATCAGAGAAAGCTGCCTTGTGGTTGCAGGGGCAGAAGACTTGGGGTTGTAATCTGGGCTCAGGAGTGACTGATTCCATCCCCCCGGAAATAACTGTTTAGGGAGAACCTGCACCCCAGGGAGTTCACACCCTCTTCTGCATTTCCTCTCACTCCAGCTGAGGCAGTACAGTTGACACACCGAGCATCATGTGTTTGTTGCCAGGGTCCATTTACATGTGGACTTTTTTCTATCTGCCAGTTCTACATTCAGGGATTCAATGATGGCCACTGGGTGAATCCCTGGGTTCAGAGTCCGAGGGGCAGTTCTAAGTCACTGGAGGATTTTCCCCCAATTGGCGAGAGGGCGGCCCTAGCCCCTTTGTTGTTCTAGGGCCAGCCATACAGTTATTAATGGTTTACAGATGACAGAGGCAGGCTTTGTCTTTTCTATAGTTATGGGGCTGGTGAGTGCAAGAGCTGGGATTTGAACCCAGGTCTTCATGATTCCAAAGTTAGTATGTCTGGCAGGCGATATCACGTTCCCTAAATCTTCACCATCAATATGATGATTTACTGAGCACTTGGTAAATGATGGTTCTGAGCTAAGCACGCTACATGCTCTTTATCACATAGCTCACGATACCCTCTGAGAGGGTTTCTGTTATTCTTCCTAGGGAATTCTTATTATTGTTCTTATAGAAAAAAATCTTTTTCTTATTATTGTTGGGAAAGAAACCAGCGTGCAGAAAGGCCTGGGAGCTAAGTTACTTAGTTTGACTCTTTCACTTGTATCTGGGGTCCAGGGGAAACACCCCCCATTAATTGACCACGATTGCATTTTACATACAAGGCTCCTCTCCGCCTCACTACCCACCCAAGTCCCTACTCTTTCTTCTATTTTAGGGTCTCCTGACCCCACTCTACTCTCACCGGGCCCCTCTGAGCCTGAGGCACTGCAGAGGTGGGTCCCCACCCCCAACTCCAAACAACCACCTACCCTTCCTGCTGCTTCCAGGTCCACTGGGAATTTGCCCCTAATTGCATCTCAGGCTGGGAGGCTATTAGCTTGTGATTGCGTCCCCAGGGCCTGCTTTGCCCCCTGGGTGCCCACTCTCAGCTTCTGTAGAGGTTTGAGATGATGTAAATCCCCAATCCCGGGCCTGGCCTGTTCAACTACACAGCACCCCCAGCTCCCAGTCCTGAGTGGGGCTCTTCTCCAGGGAGCTGTGTCCCCTCACTATGGGGCAACAGGAGAGGAGTCCAGGCCAGTCTAGCACAGCACATGGGTGCCCTCTTCCCCTCCATGCCCCTGCACACCTCCTGCCAGCTGCCTCCCTGGTGGGAGGGTAAGAGCCCTGGAATTAGAACTAATTCACACTCTTCCTCTCTGTGACCTTGGGAAAGTCCCTTCCACTGTCTGGACCTCAAAAATAGGAGATTTGTCTTGGGTTTGCTAACTAGCACCTAGCCTGGAAGAGAATACCATTTTGGTAGTTCGTGGGTTTTTCTTCCACTAAAATCCGGCAAGGTGCCAGACACTGAAAATTCAAGAAAAGCAAGCTCCTATTCTCACAGAGCTTGCAGCCTCGCAAGGAAAAAGACTGGGCAGTTACAATCAGAGCTGGGATGGAGGGGAGGTGGGTCCCAAGGACAGTGGTACCCAGGGCACACAGAGGAGGAAATTTTTCTAGTTCAGAGCAGTGGTCCAAAAAAATTTCCTCTAGAGTTTCTGAGTCCTAAAGAATAAGGAAGAAGGGAAAGGCGTGGGGCTGGAGTAGTGGAGAAAACAGCAGTGGGAAGAGGCCCAAAGGCGAGGGCTATAAATGCAGAGGCTGGAGGGTGGGCAGAGGCCCTGGTGCAGTGTGGGATGGAGAATTTGGACTTGACTGTGAGGAACTGAAGAGCTGTAGAAAGATTTGAGGCCAGAGAGGCTGCCATATAGAGGAAGTGTTGGGGGCCAGAGGGGTGAGGGCGGGAGGCCAGGACCATATGTCTCACCTCCCCCATGTGGGGGCGTGGGAACAGCCCCCTCCAGTACCCCTTAGAAAGGAAAACAGTACTTTATTCTCTTTCCCCAGACACTCCCCTTCTACACACACGCATACGCACACATGTATGCACTCTCGTGTGCGTGCAGCCAGGTCTGCTGCAGATTCCCTCAGGGGGAAGGACAGAGGTGGGGTAGGGAGGCACCCTGAGCCTTGTGGCCCAGGAAGAAGCTAGAAGGAGTCTTGATGCCCTGCTGAAGTTCAGGGTGAGCTCTCAGTCCCTGGGAGCACAATGTTGCCTTTCTACCCCCTCTCCCCTCTCCCACAGCAGGTTAATCTGCCCCTGAGCTGTGGAGACTGGAACTGGGAGAATCTTTCCCTTCCTCCCCTCCCACCACCTTCATTTCCTCCCCCTACTCCTCCAGATTCTCAAGGTCCCTGACATCCTGGAACCTGGAACATTCTAGAATCAGGGTGGGAGACTGGAGGGTAGGGGGTGCGTGTGTGTGTGTGTGTAGAAAGCACAAGTGGGGTACAACTGGCTCTGCCTTGGGGCCAGTGTGGGGAAGTGTGCCCAAGAGCCACTCAAGGCTAGAATGGGATTTCAGGAGGATTCAGAGATCAGAGAATTAAACTTCTTGCCCCAACGCTGTTATACCTGCAATCCTCGTGGCCCCCACTGCATGGAGCCTGCTGAGCTGGGCCAGGTCAGGGTAATAGTCCAGAGCTCCTCCCCACATGCTCTTTCCAGCAACCCAAGTCACTCTCAGGCATTTTCCCAGACAGAGACCACAGCCACATGAAGCCCCTACCTGGAGCCCAGATATGCAGGGTTTCCCATTCTCCCCTCAACTCTGTGCCTCTTCCAGGCCCCTCTGGGGTGGGGGTGCTCAAGTCAGACTCCACCAGCCACTGTTTCCCAGACCCTGTCATCAGGCCCTCTGGAATGCACTTGTCCACTTTTCTCCATCTCCACAGCTTTCACCATCCTAGGCCCCATTCACTTCCTCACAGGCCTCCTGATGTCCACCCTGCCCCTGTCCCATCCATTTCCCACTATGCTGCCAGGCAGAGGTTTCTATAGCAAATGCAGAGTACTGCTCTCCTCAGTGACCTTCAGTGCCCCCAGGCTGTCCTAGGATAACAGTCAAACTCCTCCTTTGGCTCCCAAGCCTGCTGTACCACTGGCCTCACTCCTGGTGGCCCCTCACCACAAACCCGTAAGGATCTCTTCTCTCCAGGGGCCACTGTTCTCACTTCCAGGCCTTCATGTGACAGTTCCCCCTTAGGGCACCTAGCTCACCATCTCCAGGCAAACCCCTCCTCATTCCTCAGGTCTCAGCTCCTGCCAGAGCCTCTGACCACTGCCAGACACCATTTTTGGATTCCTGTAGCCCCCAGAACTCTGCAGGTCCCAGCTCTGACTGCTCTGCACTATAAATGCCTGTGTAACATTCCTCTCCCACATGTCACTGTATCAAGAATTCCATGTATTACAAGCAGATGAGGGAATGAGTGAAGTGAGAGGGACTCTGGTGAATTCCATGTTGTAGGATTCAAGTGCCAAATGTGCTATTACCACTACCCTAGAAGCAGTGATGGTGGCCATGATTTATGTGTGCCCACACCATCCTGGCGCTGTGCTAGGCATCATTTCATTCCATTCCCCCAGTGACCTTGAAAGGTACATTACTGCTACCATCCCCATTTTACAGATAAGGAAACTGAGGCTTTGAAAGATTAATCTTCCTATGAGTGTATGGAGGTGAGTGTAGGGGCTTGGGGTGGGCCCCTTGCATTCTTAAATGCAATTAAACTTGAAAAGGCCATTTATGAAATCTAGAACCTCCACAGTACAGGAGAAGAGATCCTCAGTGCACCCCCTCGTCCCATCACTCCATAGGTTCTCCAGTCATGGGTGATGGGATCCTGAGTCCCTAGGGGCACATGAGTCAGCTGGGACCTTCCAGGATAAGAGAAGCAAGTCCTGGGGGGCGCCTTCCTGGTGGTGCAAGAGGTTAAGATGCAACCTATGAAACTATCTGCAGCCACTGCAGCATGAGTTCAATCCCCGGCCAGGGAGCAACCCACATGGCACAGCAGACCTCTGCTGTCTCACCTTCTGCTCCCCTCAGCAGTGTATTTCAGTCAATCCGCCTGTTCTGTTCCCCACTGTCTCTGGCGAATCCTCTCACCCCCCCCACAACTCTGGCCTGTACCCCAATTCTTGTTTGTCTAAATAAATAAATCTTTTAAAGAAAGAGAAAGAAGCAAGTCCCTCACAACAACATCGTTCCATTCATGTCTGTTTCAGAAGCAGGAGATGTTGGGGAAGTCCCGAGTACAGCCCTCCTCATCAGGGCAGAAGGTAAGGTGTGGAATTAAATAGCAAAGTGTATTTGGTTGGAGAGGAAATGAGATTTCTTTGTCAAGGTGAATGTGTCTCAGAGAGCTTGGAACAGGGTGGAGTTTGGGGGGGTGGGGGGCACTTTAGGGGGTTGCAAAAGGGGAGCGCGGATTTGGAATTATTAGAATGTTGATTATGTCCTCTTGATTGTTAATGAAATTCTTCACCTTGGATTTCTGGACCAGGGGGAAAGCTCCTGGAGCTCATTTTCCCGCTGATGAGAGCAAGAGAGAGGGCAGGAGGGGGCAGAAGACTCTCAGCTTAGGGAGAAATTAAATTCCACTTAAACAAATGGGACTGGAGAAGCCTGGCCACTGCCTTTTGGAGGCAGAGCCTTGGGCTGACCTGAGGTCCCCTGTGGAAATGGGCTGGACACCCCTGGGAAGGGAGTGGCCCAGAGGTCCAATCGGGCAGTGAGAGTGGCTCCAGGAGTAACAACAGCGAACATTACTGAGCGCCTGCCCACAGCCTGAGCTGCATGCGTGCATAGATGATGTTCCCATTCTGTAGATGAGGATACTGAGGCACAGAGAGAAGAGAAGCACCCCAGGGCCTGTAGGTGGTAAGAGGAGGCCCCAATATTTCAGCCCAGGGAGCCTGGCACCAGTGCCTGTCCTTTGAGAGCTGAAGGATGCTCAGGTCTACCAAGCCCTTCGCTGCCTCCCTAAGCCTCGCTGCCCCGCCCCAATATAGGGCCAACCATAGGTCACCATGAAGGCATATTGCCAGGAATCAACAAAATTTTAAAAATCAAAAGCAACTCTGCACAGAAACATATAGTATTCCCTTTGGAGCATTGGTCCTGGCCACCCAAGTGGAGAGGTGTCCCTTTTTATCTGGCCGACCAGGCCCCATGACATGTGGCCACTATTCTAGGCACCAGGGGTACCATGGAGAACAAAATAGACAAAATCTCTGCCTGGTAGACCTTATATTTACTGAGGGTGGCCACAAACAAGATAAATAAGTAAACCAAGACCTGTTAGAAGTAAGAAATGCAGTAGAACAAAACCAAGCAGGAAAGGGGAGGGAATGCTGACAGCAGGGGTGGGGGGGACAAGACAACTGCAGTTGAAATAGGGTGGTTAAGGCCTCCCTTCCCCCCATCCCCCACCAGTGAGTGACTTGGAGGAAAGGCTCAAGGGAGTAGAAGTGAATAAGCACTGAACTAGGGGAAGAACATTCCAGGGAGAGGGAACAGCAAGGGTGAAGTGGAAAGGCTTTGAGGTGGGACCATACCAGGTATGTCACATATGGCACAGGAACCTGAATAGTTGCATTAGCAAAGAGAGAGAGGTAGGCACTGGAGCCACAAAGGTGGGGTGAGTGCGATTGTGGAGGGGGTTGCTGGCCTCTGTAAGGACTCACTTTTATCTGAATGAGACAAGAATCCACCAGAGGGTTTTAGGTACGGTCTGATATATGTTTTAGGTATTGTTCTGTGGTGTTGAGAACAGACTATAGAGGGTCAAGGGCAGAAGCAGAGAGAAGAGTTAGGAGGCTATTGCAATAATCCAGGTACAAGTAATGGTGGCTTAATTCAGGGAAGTAGTGCTGGCGGCAGTGATGAGAGGTCTGATTCTGGGTGTGTTGTGAAGTTAAAGCCAACAGGATGAGCTGATGGATCAAATGTGGGGAGTAAGAGAAACAGGGATTCACAGATGATTCCAAAGGTTTTGCTTGCTCCATCTCTCAATTCCCTGAAGATCCATTCCCTCTTTTTAAGATCCAGCTTCAACCGCCCTGCCCACCTCCCAAGTCCCCTGAGACACCCTCACTGGGCTTTATTCAAGACCCACTACTTCCAGCTCTTTCACTGCCCAAGATAGAGGACCCTACATGTGTACAACTTGCCCCAGGGCATAAACCTGCCTCATGACCTTCTTGGGTTCCCCAAGGTTTTACCTGGCTCGGGAACTCCCATCACATCTGCAGTCCACCTCAGCAGCTCCACTTTGGTGCTCCCTTTTCTTGTTGCCTGGAGCTGGCCCTACTCCCTGCTGCACTGCTCTGCTATCCTCTGTTCCCTGTCTGCCTCCCACCCTTCCCTCAGTTGGTGCATCACCAACCCCAGGAAGGCTTTCTGATTTGTGATTCTAGATGAAGCCCCCAATTCCAACCTTGAGCCTCTACCACAGGGGCAAGTTGACTTGTGTGATTATTTGATGAAAGCCTGTCTCCCCACCTGACTAAAACAAGGGAAGGGGCCCACCTGTTTCCCCAGAAGAGACCCCAAGAGACATTCAGTGGATTTGACATGAAGCATTGGGCTTTTGGTAAATTAACTTTCACCTAAGCTTCCAGCTGCTAGGTGAATGCCGGCCATATCACAGATACTTGCTACATATTTATTGAAGGAATGAATCAAGCAATCGGTGAATCAGATTTTTCTTATAGACCTTGGACATGTGACTGATTTTTTGAGCCTCAGTTTCCCCATATGTGAGGATGGGTATAAGAAGTAGGTATACTTCACATGTTGTCAGGATTGAAAAACAGAAGGCATGAGCAATGCCTCACACCAGTAGCTGCTCACTAATTGTCCCTCCAATGCCAGCTCAGACAATTACCACCTTACACTTCCCCCGCGCTTCCCCTCCCCCACCCCTCCTAAGGACTCCCGGTTGTGGAATCACCGAAACCTCCAAACACTCCCTTTCTCCCCCAAGATCCCCAAATTTGCCACCGGTTACATATTGATCCTGTTTAACTTTCCCAATGGATGATAAACACGAAATTAAAATGACTTCCTGGAATATTAATGTAGTAAATGGCCCTATTAAAAGAAAGAAAATACAGCTGAGAAAATTCGCTTTGATGTAGCGTTTCTGCAGGAGGCTCATTTATCTGCAGCTCAGACTCTTGAAATGAGATTCTGAAGGTTTCTCTGATGTCTCTTATTTTTCCCTCACCCAGAATTTAAACAGAAAATAGAATCACAAGCTGGTGTCATAAAAACGTGGGCCTTTTCCCTTCTCAACCAAAAAGCAAATGAAAACAGGACCAGGTAGATATCAGGGTCTGTAAACACTGGCTGAGGACAGAGCTTGCCCCTCCCAGTCCACTGTATCTTGCCCACCACTGGCCTCCAGGGTCAGAGGGAGGACTGCCCCTGCTGGCGCTTGTCACTTATTCACTGTATGTTCTTGGACGAAGTACTTCCCCTTTGGAGCCTCAGTTTCTTCATCTATAAAATGGGAATTCTAGTACCTAACTCCCACAGCAGTTGTAAACATTAAATGAGATCAACATCAAGTCTGCTATAGGTTGCTCAGCGTTGCTATCCTTTGTTACTATTATTACAAAGAATTATTTGTGGTGTTATTTATATTCAGCCTGGACTGAGATGTCACTTACTCCAAGAAGCCTTTCCTATTCCCTAGGCCCCTAGGTCACAGGGGCCTAGTCACAATCCTGAACCCACGCCCCCCATCCCAGCCTCGTTACTTCTCTGCCTCTCCCAGCAGCCTGCCTGCTCCAGAGTGCTGGCCTCAGCCTTGCTCAGGATTGCATGCCAGGGGCACAGGGTGGCACTTGACTGTCTTGAGTTAGAGCCATGGTGCTGGTGACTGATGTCCCTGTGCCCACCTGGCATATCTGCAGCTCTCTGTCAATATATAATCCTCCCACCAGCCACAGGAGCTCAGTCTGGAGATGGTTGTCTATCCACCTCCCCTGTGCCTGGGCGCCTTTGTCTTCACCTTCCCTGGGCCTCTTTTGGACTATCCAAAAGGCATTGCTTCCTCTCCTGTCTCAGGAGGGTAGCAGACAGCATTCAGAACAAGAGTCTCTGGGGTGAGCTCTCTCCCACCTTCTCCTTTCTCTTTTTCCCCTGCATCTCTGCTTTCCCCTCTCCTCAGCACTTATGCTGAGATCCTGGGTCTTCCTCACCTGGATTTGGGCCTGTAGGTAGGTGGAGAGGGCTGTACACCCTCTGCCTAGGTTGAGCCTCCCTGGATGCCCCTCAAGCCAGCCCAAGACTTCTCCAGTTGGTCACAGTGATGTCCCTGGCACCTGTAATCCAGGTTCTTCCGGTTTTCCTGCTGCCAGAGGGACTCGGGACCCCTATGCTGGGACCAAGAGAGAGGCACTATCCCTTCCAGGCATCCAGGGTGCTGTCACAGGGACAGTGCTTCTGACCCATTCACATTAGAGACCCAACCTACACCCCACCTCAAACACAGACACAGGGTTGCACAACCCCTATTGTCCATAGCCATGGGACTCAGGAAAGCAGAGGTACCCCATGGACAAGGGGCAGGGGCAGGGGTTTGTAGAAGATTAGCTTGCCTGTGGGGGCACTATCCTCTGGAGACCCACCCCCAGCCTGCCTGTGGCCCCCTGGCAGGAAAATGAGAAGCTGGAGCATAGGGGTTAATTTGGGGAAAAGCAGCAGCTGCTTGAAACGGTGAGGGTGGGCCGCAGGGCAAGTGCTGCTCCTGCTGAGATAATGATTGTGAGGGATGCTGGGACTGGGGGCCACCCACACACCCCCCAAGCTCACACACACCCCCAAACACCCTCATACTCAGGCTAGTTATCTGTTTGGGCATGCACATGGGCACACACATACACACACACAGAAAAAAAGCTCATAACCATCTGGGCATAAGACATAGTCCCTTATACACAATTCTACACACACTGCAGTTGCTCCCTGTGTGTGAGTGTAAACCCATTCAGAGATGCACACAGCAGGCAATCAGAGGCCAGATGCACATACACGGCTATACCTTTCCAGTCTGTGTGTCAGGGTCTGACTCAGTGTGCCAAGGTGACCCCATCGCTGTACAAGGGCACCTCCCTGTGAGTGATCAAAGGTAGTATTGGGGACCAGGCATTCTGGCCCCTGCCAGGGCCAACTTAGGTCTTCCAGGGTCTTCTTACTCCTGGAGGCTATATCTCCCGTGATATCAAACACAGATAAATCCAGCCACCCCCAACCCCGCTTACATATGATTTGTATATAACCT